ATATATAAAATATCATACCTATATATTTTAAGGGGTTGGGTGTCATTGTTAATGCTCTTCCTTCCTTTTTTATTGTACGAGATCATGATCATGTTTTCTGATACAGATGCCTGTGACTTTTACACCAGAGCTGAAACCTAAAAGAGCCTCAACTACAAGGGTAAATATTCAAATTCGAATGTGGATAAAAATGGCTTTTCAGAAAAAAAATTTAAAACATGCAATTGATCCTTTTGTTTTCTCTGTATTTTACCCAGCCTGTTATATATTGTGCCACATAGCAAATATAAACATATTAGGTGGGGAATATTTATTTGTTCCTGTTTTGTGATTGTACACTGTGACTTGGCATTTTTATTTGATAGTACAACATAATATTGCTGGGGTGAACCCATTAACTGTATATGCCTCTGAGATTTTTCTAATCGCAATCCTAACATTTGTGATATTTGTGGGAAAAAAGGGCATAAACTACAATAACCAAGTAGTGCTTTGTAATAACATTATCAACTAATATTTGATAAAACTTGACAAAGTGTTTTCAGATATTATTTTTAAATGGATCATCTAACCTTATTTTTGTTGAAGACAAAACAAACTTGTCATATTTGTAAAATGTTTTGATATTTTTATTAAGATACCGCTAAAATTATTAATAATGACAGATGAAAATTTATTTGATGTATTTTTCTGTGCTGTTTAATTACTTTAATCAATCAGTTTGCATATTGATATAGCACTAATCATAGAAGTGTTCTTATGCAGGGTACTTTGAATTATAAGAAGGATATACATAGAAACACTTAAAAGGACAAAATTTTGCTAAAATATGCATAAATATTATCCCTCTCTTTACAGGCACAATATTCTATAGATGCTAAATTTATGAATCATTAAAAGAGTAAAAATAGTATATGTACTTTTATTTACTTTTGAAAAGAAGATATAGGGCCAAGGATGTTGCTTAATTATAGAACTCGTAATGGCTGTACAAGGTCTTGAATACAACTCCAGCACCGAGAAAGGAAGGGAGGAAAAAAGGGAGGACGGAAAGAACAGTGGCAGATAATACATATTCATCAAGTTTAATAATTATTCATCTTTCTTAGATCTTAGTAACTCATTTTTTAAAAGAATAATAGCTTGCATATATGTTGCAGTACACATATATGTAATAACTAGAATAATTTCACATGTATTTTCTCAATTGACTCATGACATCCCTGTGAGGTGAGTGATATTATTTCTTTATATATGAAAATATAGCCTCAAACAAAATTGTGTTTTTTTTTCTCATGATCACAACATGTAAGTGGCAGATCTAGGATTCAAATAAAGATTTTCTGGCATCTTAACTCAGTGGTTTTTCTATTACATATTCAAAGAGCTTTCTTGGCAAAGCAATAAGTTAAGAAACTATAAAGCATGTAGATACAAAGATTAAAACAGCTATGTGCCTTGTTGAACTCTTCTAAATGTGTCTAAATTGATGCTCTCACTAACATGGCATTTCTCTTAATTGCTACCAATGGAGGCTTTATAATTAACACAACCCTGTTGCTAATGATTAGATTAGACAGAAATAAACTGACCTTTAGTAAGAGACTTTGAATATGTCAGTCAAACCTAATGCTAGGAATTGGACCTTGGTGGCCACCAATGGACACCCTAACTTGTTGCTTCTAATCCCATTCAGCATAAAAGCAAATTTCTTTGATTTCAATTGGAATGGCATAATTCATTTTTAATGCTGCTTTGGCAATAACAGAGTTATATGTTAATTTTGCTCATGTAAGTTTTATGTATAGTATTTTAGGGGCTGGAGAGATGGCTCAGCAGTTAAGAACATTGACTGCTCTTGCAGAGGACCTGGGTTTGAGTCCCAGCATCCACATGGCCGCTAACAACCACCCATAACTCCAGTTCCAGGGGATACGATGCCTTCTTCTGACCTCCGTGGGCACTGCATGACAGGGATGCACTTATATGCATTCAGGCAATACACTCATACACATAATAAAATAATAATAATAAAATTTATAGATAATGTTTTAAAGCCTGCCCTAAATTATATCTCCTGTTAAAGTAACTGGCCATTTAATCAATATAGCAGCTAAATTATGTATTTTGATTATTTTTCTGTTGTTGGATAGAAAATGAAGACCAAAAATGTTGCAGTGGAAGAAAACAAAGATGCAAGTGCCAAAGCAATTCTTGAAACCAAGATGGAAGATGTTAAAGAAGAATGCATCATTGAAAATTCTGAAAATGGAGAAGCCAAAATTATTAAGGTACCTTGAAATTTTAACATATTTATCTACTATAAATCTTTTAAAATATTTTATATTTATTTTTATTTTATGTGTATGAGTGTATTACCTGCATATATGCAAGTACACCCGTGTCAGGCAGCACCCGCAGAGGTCAGAAGAAGGCTCACGGATACCGTGGAACTGGAGTTTCAGATGGTTGTTAACTGCCATGTGGGTGCTGGAAATCAAACCCGTGTCTTCTTCAAGAGCAGGCAGTGCTCTTAACCGCTGAGCCATCTCTCCAGCACCAACTACTAGAAATCTTAACAATGAAAGTGAAAGCAGTCTTATTTGCCTTTTAGTTTAAACACTGAGAAATGGTAAACGAATAGTGGTTCTGTAGTGTAATAGTATCTAAAGATAAAATTAATCAAAAACAGGAGCTTTACATTAGTGATAGCAGAGATAGTCAGTTAGCATTGCTTTTCCAATAACAATGCCAATAATCATGACTTAGTACTAATCTGCTAGCCCTCTTGTTAAACACAGGCTGTTCCCGCAATTGCTTTTGTCAGCACATGGGCTATTTGTAAATTCTTTTTCCAGAAAATAGGACTTTTTATTATTTCTACAGATAGTAAAAACTTACTGTACAACTTAAAAAAATTTATTGAATTTTTTTATTTCCATACAGTATAATTAGATGGTATTTAGATCTCCTTCCCTATCCCCACCTCCCCTTACTGTCCCGTGCCCAATTAAATGTGCTCTATTAGATAGACAGACAGACAGATAGATAGATAGATAGATAGATAGATAGATAGATGATAGATAGATAGATAGATGCTCTATAAGAATATATATGTGTTCCCAAATGTTCTCTACAACTTTTTTTTGAGCTATGATCTCACATAGCCTAAGATGGTCTCAAGCTTGTTATGTTGTTGAGAATGACATGGAACTTCTGATCTTCCTTCCTCTACCTCCCAGTTTCTGGGATTACAGGCTTGCATTACCGCACCTAATTTATCATGTGCTGGGAATTCAACCCAGATTTTTATGCATGCTATGCAATCACTCTACCAACTGAGCCACATCCCAGGCCATGTATAAGTTGTTTTAATAAGATTTCCTTTATAATTTAATGTATACTCCATTTTTAGGTAGTCTAGTAAAATACCAAAATGAGATGTAAGGACAAATTCTACAAACCAAATATGTGCATATACATAAATTCTCTTATAAGTAGTCATATGGGATTTTTAAGCATTTTTTTTAAAAGCACAAATATAAATTACGCTTGTTGGTGCATGCATGTTACTCCAGTATTTAGAAGGTTGAAAAGGTGTATCATTGTGAGTTCAAGGCCTGCGTGGACTACATAAAAAGACCTTCTGTCAAAAGAAAAAATACAATTATTTTCCCAAGGATTGTATTTTTGCTGTCATGCATTTTACTTACTGAGAATTTCTGACATAGAATAGTCATCCTTTCTTTACTTTATGTTTCATCATATTTGTAATGAAAATTATGTCGATAAGCTTTACCAAATTTATGGTTGTAGACATCTATTTGTGGTTACTTGTATCAAGATGCTTTACTTACTCTTAGAGTTTAGAATACTTTCCTCATGTTATGATTTTCCGTAGGCAAATTGGTCTCTGGAAAAAGAAGTGTAATTAGGCTTTTCATGATATAGATATAATCTGATATGAACACGCAGTAGAAAACAGTATTAAATGTAGAGTCTTTTTCCCGACTATATCTAGGCACCCATTCCTAAAAAAGAAACAGATGAAGTAAAAGAGGAGAAAAATGAAGACACTGGAGAAGATGGAAGAGAAAAGAAAGAAACAGTGGCAGCAGAAGGAGAAGAGGATGAGAAAGATCAGAAAGATGAAAACATTCAGACTACAGAAGAAAAAGGAGAAGATGGACAAGATGATGCAGATGAGAAAGAAGAAGATGGAGAAGAGGGTGAAGGTAAAAATGAGGAAGAAGATGGAATAAAGGGAGAAGACCTAAAAGAGAAAAAAGGTGCAGCAGATAATGAAGAAGGAGAGGGGAAGGAAGATGGAAATGAAGACAAAGAGAGTGAAGAGAAAAGAGATGACGAAAAAGAGGGAGAAGATGGAAAAGAGGAAGAACATGGTGGAAAGGAAGAAGGTGACAAAGAGGTGGAAGGGGAACCAAAGGAAGTTGAAAAGGAAGAGAAAGGGGAAAGCAAAGAGGAGGTTGTGAAAGACAAAGAAGAGGAAAAGAAGGAAGATGACGTGGACGCTGAAGGGGAGGAAGACGGAAAAGAGAAAGATAATGGCAGACAGGAAGAGGACGGGAACGAAGACGAGGCAGGGGAAGGAAATGAAAAGAAAGGTGAAACCACAGCTGAGCTTGGAAAAGAAGCTGAAAAGAAGGGTGTGGACAAAGAGGAGTCTGTCAGCATTGTTTAAAACTGCCCCGTGTAATAGCATAATTTGGTAACATGTAACTTCCTGTTGTAATGTTAATAGAGATAAATATTTTTATCAGATATTTTATAAACACTGTTTTTCTTTATCATCGTTTAATCACAGAACATCTTCTGTGATTATTAGTTGAAAAGTACCTAACATGCCACCTTTATTCATTTTGTGATTATAGTTGTGCAAAATATAAAATGTACATGTGCAAATTTGTGAATTTTATTGTGTGTAAGTTATGTAATAAATCTTTGAATTTTAATTTTATTCTTATATATGATAATTTTGCAAGGTAAGAAGACTCCAAAAGAGTTTCGTACAACTTTCTTGTGGATCTCGAGGTTGCTTTTATAAAGAAGGTCAACTATTTTCACGTAATGTTAAAAGTTAGGATTGCCATTGCCAAATACAACTTTCCTAGTAGCTTGGGAAGAATATAAAGCTGCAATTTCATTTTTCAAAGATATACAAATGTTTATTTCAGAAGGGCAGTTTTGATTACATGTGTATGCACAAAGTTTTACTGGATTTATCTTAATAAAACAGCTCCACAAATATTATTGTGGTTTATGATGTTTCCAAAAATGTAGTTCAGTCAAATATTAAAATCCTTGGTGGTTTTTCCTGCTGTGAGGTTTATGAAGGCATTTGGGTTTTTTTCATTGAGATACAATTAGCAAAACATAAAACCCATCATTTTAATCATTTCAAAGGGCATGGGGTCAATAGATTTACGTGTTTTCACCACAGTGTGAAACCATCACCATTATCTAATTCTAGAGGCTTTTCATCACCCTAGTAAAATACCAGTTAGCAGTCTCCCTCGATTTCCTCCCAAACCATCTCCCCCCATTCATCCCCTAGCAATGCTTTCTTTTCCTCTGAAATAGCCAATATTGGGCAGCCTATATAAATGGGATCACATAATGTGTGTATCTGAACTTTCTTCTTCCGGTCTTACATTGTTTCTGATATTTTAATTGGATCTAGCATTACCTTCATCATCAAAAGTTTGCTTCACCCAATTTTTCCTATGTCTTGGTGGACAAAATGGAAAAGAAAGTGGAGGAGTGGTTTTAATTCATGGGGAAAGAATATGTTCATTGGGGCTTAATGCTAAAATACAACAAAATCTGTTGCAAAACAATCTTTACAAAAAATGTGGAGAGGGAGCTTGGAGAGATGGCTCAGGGGTATAGAGCACTAGGTGCTCTTGCGGAGGACCTGGGTTCATCTCTCAACACCCACATTGCAGCTAACAGCCATCAGCAACCCCAGTTCCGGGGGGATTTGACTCCCTCTTCTGGCCTGTACAGGCACTGCATGCACAGGTGCACTTATATGTATGAATGCAAAACATTCATACACATAAAATAGAATTTGTGATGTGACTTTAAATAGTTTACACCACACATAAGTAAGATTTAGAATAAGGAAATATACTCCAGAATGAAAATTTTTCTTATAAGAATAATCTTTGAATTTTTACTGCCCATGCACCAGTGGATGACCTCCCACTGGTACCCACAGGGGCAGCACTAATTGGACTCCATGGGTTAATTTAAAAAAAGAAAAAGAAGGACTGAGGAGCTCACTCAGTGGTTAAGAGCAGTGGCTGCTCTTTCAGAGGACCCAGATTCGATTGCCAGCACCCACATGGCAGCTAGCAACTGTATGTAACTCCAGTTCTAGGGGAATCTGAAACCTTCTGACCTCCATGGGCATTGCAGGACACAGGTACACTTACACACATAGAGGCAATACACTCATACACATAAAGATAATAAAGAAAAAATTTTAAAGAAAAAGAGGCTGTGAATTTGGGAGGGAGACTTGGGAGGTACAGGAGAACTGGGAGAGTGTGAGTGGGTAGTGCATAAGATCAAAATACATTTTATACTTCTGAAATTATGAAAGAATTATATATATATATGAAAAAGTAAAATTTAAAATTGCACTGGAACTAGGTGTATTAGTTATGTTTGTTTTCCTGTGACCAAATACCTAAATGAATCAAATTAATGGATAAAGGGTTTATTTTGGCCCTTTAGAAGATGTAGTTCATCAGGTTGGGGAACTCATTGTGGTTAGAATGGATTGGTCCATGGCTGTGGGACCCTTGCTGGACAGCTTGCGTAAGTGTAACCTGGTTAACCTTAGCATAGAAGTGGTGACATGGACAAAGAACACCAACATTAGCTGAGGAACTATTGGCAACTGATGACTCCTAGGAGAGGGAGAATTAGGTTTCTTTAAGAGAGTGACTCTAGATAGGTTGACCGGGCTCCAGTAGATGGACTCACACCAAGGAAATTTGAAGACACACACGTGGCTCTTTAGACTTTACATATATAACAGAATGCATGAAATCCAGTTGGGGGTTCTGAGGACACAAATATGAGAGGGTGGTCTAAACATGATCAAGATGTATAAAAACTGCAAATTCAATAAAAGTAAATTCTTAGGAAGCCCATCAAATCTGCTATGGTTTAGACCCATCTGTGCTAAACATTAAATAACATTAAATCTGTACTAGACAAGTAAATAGTTTACATGAAGTGCTTTTTTTTAACGTATAGAAGTTCCTTTACTATGATAGTTACGTGATACAAAAGATTCCTTTGTATCTTGAAAAGCAGCTGTGGTACCTGTGGAAGATGGGACATTTCATCATTCTGTGAGGGATGGGGGAGTGTCTCATGAGGCCACACCCCTTCCAGAGGAGTCATTAATAGTTATGGATACCAGGAAAGGAGGAGTCATTTTCTTCACGGGTGTGCACACTGAGTAGTCATCCTTACTCCTCGTCATGCTCATGCACACAACCCTAATTAACTCAGTCACCAAAAAAAAAAAAAAAATCCCAAAAGAGGTGAACTTGTTGAAAAGCAGGAGTTCAGTAAGAGTGATAGGAGGATAAGGGAGGGTAATGGGAAGATATATATGTTCAAATTATGTTACATACATGTATAAAATTATCAAACAAATTTTCTTAGAAGAAGAACCATTTAACTTTTTAAAAGGCATGGGCCTATGTGACAGCATGCACAAGACCCATGCAGACTCAGGCAGACAAAAATCCAGCACAGAACTGGGGAAATAAGCAGCAGGCCCCAACCTTAGCCTAGGAACTATTGATAACTGATTACTGCTGTTTGAGGGAGAGTTGATCTTCATTAAGGGAGTGATTCTAGATAGGCTGAATAGACTCCAATGGATGAACTTGCATTGGGAGATATATAGGTACAAAAGCTTACCAGCAGATAGGCCTTAACATATATGAAAGTACGCATGAAATCCAGTGTGGGGAGGCTATGGAGGAGTTTGGATGGAGGAGGAGGTCTAAATATGGTTAAGATGTATGAAATGCACAAAAGTTCAATATAAATACATTAGACTAAAAAAGTGACCAAAGACAAAAGAAAATAGAGCACCCTTTGTCCAACAAATAAATAAATAAATAAATAAATAAATGGCATGACCTTTACACTATTATCTATCATGAATAATAATTCATCTAGGGAGATTACAGAGGTGAGGGTGGATCTGGAAAGAATTATTGGGAGAGCTGGGGTTGAGTATGATCAAAACATTTTATTAAATTCTCAAATAACTATTAAAATATTTTCTCAACATGTTTTTATTGAATTTTATGCACTACATACAACTTAATCATATTTAGACTTCCTCCCCTAACTGTACCCCCTAGGAACTTGCTCATATGAACTCACAGCAATGATTACAACATGCACAAGACCCAAGCAAACTCAAACCAGACAAAAACCTAGCATAAAAATACGTTTTTTAAAATAACAATTCATGGGGCTGGAAAGATGGCTCAGCAGTTAAGAACACTGGCTGTTCTTCCAGAATATTGGTGTTCAATTCTCAGCACCCACATGGCAGCTAACAATGGTTTATAACTCCAGTTCCAGGGGATCTGACACCCTATTCTGGCCTCTGCAAGGCAATGCACACATGTGGTGCACTGACAAATATGCAGGCAAAACACCAATACACGTACAATAAAAAGAATAAATAAAATATTTAAAATAAAATAAAATAATTCATCTATCTTTCATAAATGTAATAGCTTTCCAGATTATATAGGCCAAAGACAAAAAAACAGTAAGTAGGTAAAAGTTCAATTTTATATAGAGTAATAGTAGCTTTCCACACATTATCCATATAACTAAAGTTGTTCATTATGATTATTAAACATTCTTTTTAAATTCCATTCCTTAAAATGGTTCCCATAAACACTGTGTTTCTAATTATATCAAGAATTATATAACAGTGTAGATCAAAACTGTTTCCCTTTCTTCAAACCTTGAACATTAAATTTTAAGTAGTCCTTGAGAACCAAAATTATGATTTACTGCATGATTTCTTGACAATTTATGCTTTTAATTCCCTTTAGCTGGATTGTTCAAACCAGACTTGTTGGAATATACTAAACAACATAAATGAACTCTGCTGTTTGTAGAAACTGAGTTCTGATTACATAATAAGGTAAAGAATTTATTTGTATAATTTTTTTCTACAGGAGAAGGAAGAAATTGTGACGTGAGGTATATAAACTTGAAGTAGTTAATATTATCATTTTTAAAATGATAATTTTTATTTCAAGGGCCTGGGTAGATTGCTCAGTGGTTAAGAGCTCTTGCAAAGGACCCACATTTGGTTCTCAGCACTGACATAGCAGCTAATGACCCTCCAAAACTCCAGTTCTAGGGGATCTGATGTCCTCTTCTGAGCTCTACAGGCATTGGATGACACAGATGCACTTACATACATACACACAAAACACTCATACACGGTAAATAAAAATAAATTAAAAAGTTTTTAAAAGCTATTTTCCATAAAGTGTAGGGATTTTGACAAGCGTAAATGATATCTTCAAATATTTAACACTTATAGTTTACTATGTGCCAGAGCTTTTTCTAAGCAGCTTGCATATATTACTCATTTTTAAAATGTATTTTCATTTAACAACATTTTCAGGCACATGCTATCAGTATTTCCACATTATAGATGAGTAAAGTATAAAAATATTATCAAAGGGACTGGTGGCAAATCCATGATTTCTAGTAGTTAAACTAGGTTATGTTGCCTCATAAATAGAATAAACCTACAAGCCATTGTATCTAAAAAGGGTTTTGTAATTTTTCATTTGTTTTATGATAAAAATAATCTTACAAATCCAATGAGACATGGAAAATCGCCTTATTGATGTTACAACTTAGATATTTTAATGCATTGTCAATAAATGACTTTTCCATACCTATGTGCCAATTAAGTGTCTGAATTACATCAGTGACACTACCAGAGCTCTTCCTTGCCCTCACAGTATTTATGGCACAACAGAGGGTAACATGTTTTAATCATATACATTATTGGTAATTATGTTTTGCTAATGCCATAGAAGAATAGTAATTAATTATATAAAAGAACAGTGAAGGGGCTGGAGAGATGGCTCAGCGGTTGAGAGCACTGGCTGCTCCTGAAGAGGACCTGGGTTCAGTTTCCAGCATCAACATGGAGGCTAACTCCAGTT